GCTGATATTGGAATAGTTTATTTTTCAAAAAAATCTGGTGGAGAAGAATATTCTTATAATCTTTTGAAGAATACTAATTTTGATAAAAATACACAACTAAATTTTCTTGAAGTTGTCCCTTTATCAGAAGACCGGAAAAATTATTTGTATACCAACATTCGTCAGCATGTAGATGATCCATATAAAGATATTCTTTGTCCAAACCCTATTTATTATTAATATTAGTATATCATTATTTTAATTTAATATTAATATTAATATGTTGTATTATTTTTTATCGAATTTCGTGTAACAAAAAAAATGGGGTTGTAGATCAATTCAAAACTATTTTGCAAATTAATTTAAAAAATTCTTTGTTGTCTGATTACACATTTTTTTACTAAATAAACATGGTCTGATTTTTTCACCAATTATAATCCTTGTAATATAAATATATATTATGCAAAAAACTCAATTTTGGTCAGAGGTCATCTAAGCTACCTTTTGCTAGAGAACCCCCCATATACAAAAAGCTATCATCTTGTTGATGTTAATCAATCTATGAGTTGAAAGATTAGTGAAAGAAAATATATCACATACAATATTACATCTCTCTTTAAATTTTATGAGACTACATTTGCCACAATAAGTTTTGATTGGATAGAGACCCACTCAAGTGCTGCAAAAATAACAAAATCAGCAGATAACTCTGGAATTGTTCTTTTTGATTCCAAAGGAACTAGATTATCAGATGACCAGGAAATATGGCAAATGGAAGTGGCTGGGCCACCCTGGAACCCTACCACCACACATACTAAAAATGATACTAAAAAAACATTTTGACCAGACATCCTTAATTTAGTGTCCATATTACAGAATAATTTGGATTGTAGTATTGATTTGGCAACAAAGATCAAAGTTTTTTGCACACAAGCAATCAGTAAGTAACATTGTTTGTGTTTACAATAAGTTTAGGAACTCACAATCTTATTATCATTGTCTTTTTCTAAGGTACTCGCTTCACACTTTATGCATTGAATATGCTCCCAGATGGCCGGTTTCTTGCCACAGAATTGGCCTCTGCCATTATTCCCTTTTCCTGGAGTGGTCGTAGCAAATACAAAGCGATTTTAATAATGATGTCAATTTTCCATGTATGTGTTCAAGACACCCTGTATACTTTTTTTATATTGATTCAAATTAATTTATATAAAATTCTTGATGTATATTCATGTGTATATTTCTGTTATACTTATAGGAGGAGCTTACCAAACAGGAAGAATTAATGGAGGAAATCAGCTTATGTTCATCATCAACAAATGGAATAACAGTTTGTCAAGTATTGAGATTGCCAGCAGAGGTGTTAAAAAATTTTAAAACAAATGTAAATTGATAAATTTGAGAGATAAATATGATATTAATGAATAAAAATCAAATATTAATTATCAAAGCATTGGAATTATATTTTTAATATAGATGATTCATTTTCTAAAGACGATATTTACAAAAAGTCATTTGATATATACAAATACTAAATAATAATGAATAATGAGAATCTTCTTGAGAGAATAAACTGCATGTTTCCAATTAAGTAATGCTCCTTTATAAGCAAAATTCTATATAGTTGTAAAATGATTTTCAATTAATTATTTTTTTGAATAAAACTCCTTTGGTTCACAAACCAAATAAAGCATCCTCTTGTAATCCAAATCACAAAATTAACTACTTATAAGTAATACACAATTTCATACAATTAATGAGTATTTGTTATTATCAACTACATTCATTCTCCCAATTTATTATCATCACAGAAACCCTCCAATTTTAAAAAACTACAAAGTGAACATAAAATTATATATATAGAGATAAGTGTGTATATGAAAAATATTAACAAAAGTAATAAATGCAATGGTTCTAATGAACATCAAAAAGCAAATGATTTTTTAGAAAAAGGATGTAAATGTGGTTGTTCTTCAAGAATCCCCAAGGAAAATTTTGCAGAATTAAGAGAAT